TTTAAAATATTTTATATAAGCTTAAAATAAAGTTTGGGCAACCGAGAAAGGTTAAAAGAGAGGAACGTTGAACAATTTTTGTAGTAAAATGAAAAAAAAAAAGAAGAAAAAAGAGTTCTTCATGAGGGATTGAACCCGTAACCAGCAGCGGTATATCTTGACAGGTTATTGACTCAGCCACGATGCTCGTTTAATTCTAAATTAAATTTTCTATAGATATTTATCTATGATATTTCAAAATTTCTCTTTGAACTGTTGTCGGTCGTTTCATTTACCAACGAATTTCGCCATTCATTTTTTAATGTTCATTTTCGGCATGATAAGAGGTAAAGAGTGAAAACCAATATTTCTATGCATTTTTTATAACTTTGAAATTTATTTGAATATACACATTTGCTTGCGTATTACGTCCATACAAACGTTTAGGGTTCGGTTAGACGGAAGACCTTGCTGTTCCGCCTGTTTGTCAAGAACGGTTTGTGAGGGGCGGCAACTTTTTCCCCACCACCGAGCAATCCATTCATTTTCGCTGATTGCAATATCGGCTGGAACGATGATCATGACCCGCGCGGCTACGCGAAATCTGTAACATCGACAGAGGCGATGATCACGGAATCCTACTCCTGGACTCGCCGCTACGATTAGGCGCCATGCTTTTGGTATCGCCTAAAACCGGAGCGTTGTGCATCTCCCCGCTCATCTCTGTCCCCACTCATCTCTGGATATTCTAGGTGCTGTATTGTTCTTATATAAGTCATGGGTTTTGTTCGTCACGGGGAAAGCTGACCACGTGACCAGCGTCCTTGCCACGTGATTCGACGGTCGAAACCGCAGATTCAAATCATAAAAAGCAGTTCAAGAATATTATTTCCCATAAAATTTCAACCTCGATTTAATACTTATGGAACTGAGTGGATTTCAGATAACAACATTTAAAATTTATATAGCGTACTGATTATAGAATGCTAAAAAATGTTAGATCAAACTTTTTACATTTCTTTTATCCACCTTCATGCACATATTACAATTCAACTTTTCGCATGACTAATAATGTTCGAATTAACAATAACAATTGTATTTTGACGATATTATATTATTATACAAGATAAATAAAATCTTTGTTCCCTCCTCTTGAAGTAGGTCAAGTAGGAAGGTGCAACGAAATGCAAGAAGTTTGGAAATATTTTATCCCCGGTGAAAAGAGCCGTTTGAACTTTATTAATTTTGCCAGATCTTGAGAAACAATTAAAAGTTAAAGTTCTTGATTCGATAGTTTAACTGCATAGAGCCTTAACTTTCCTTAAAGGAAAGACCAGTCAATTTAAATTATTCCTTCCAAATACATTTACTATCTCTATCGTTCAAATCATAAAACTCTGAAATTAAGTGATAATATAAACAATAGATAATATAAATGGTTTATTTATCTTGATAGAAACAACAATTTGGATAATGATTGACTCAACAATAATTTGTTACCAATTTTATATCATTTGAATATTTGTTTCATCTGAAGCTGACATCTACTATTGTTAACTAAATATAAATCATATATCTAGTATACGTCCCAATGTCCAATATTAGTGGTATTACTCAAGTGTTCAATTTCGATACGTTTGGTAGATGATTTTCGACAGGGTGGCTGAAACTAGACATGTCGGTGCTGACGGTATCGACATTTGTAGATTGCTAAATTCAAGTATTCGAGGTAAATTCAAGGGTTACCTTAGTGTTAACGTTACGTGTATAGTTGAGTGTTGTTGAGAATGAAACTAGGATTAATATCAGGATTTATATTTGGAAAAAGCTTTTATTATTCCGATAGTAGCTTTTTGAATGGGTGAATTTTGAGCAATTATTACGAAATGTGGAAAGTAATGAAGTATAATAATTGTACCATATTCAGATTACTTGAAAACTTGTGAATATTTGAAATATACAACACAAAGGTGTACCTACATATTTTGCAATGAATTTGTGATATGTTTTTTAACAAACTTAGAAGCACTAGGATGGCTTCACAAGGAGTCTTAATGTTTAGAATTTCCAAAATTATAAAACAATCTGAAAAATTACGGCTTGCTGAAATAAATCAAATGCATCCGACTGTGATTTTTTGATCATTGTGATTGAGGTCATACACGTAAATATTAGTATCTGGCGAAATCACACAAATAGATATAGTATATACAGTTTGTAACGGTCTGACATGGCAGTTTCACATAAGTTATTTTAGCTGTGACAAAGGACAATGATGTAAATTGAACATTATTAGTATTTATTTCTGTAGAATAACTCACTTGTACATTTAATAGTAGATTATTATGCATAGGATTATGATATTTATGTCGTAAAACCTAGAATTTATCAAGTGATTGTTTTTAAGATATATTTATCGCATAAAGATTACGAATTGAGTCTTCAAAATTGTGACAAGGTGATACAATTGTAATAATGATGTTGTGTTACGATGGAAAACTTAGTTTATATTGCTTTGTTACGGCTTCTGTCATTGCCGGCTTACCTGAAATATTATTTAGGTTAGAATTTGATAATTATATGTCTTATCTACAAAATATGTGGGTAATTCATATATTGTTATATGGATTTTTGAATTTATTACTGGCCTTGGCATTTCGTGGCTTTGCCTATAGAGTGAGTGTAATGAAACATATAAGTTCTTTTAAATAAGTGAAACTGGTAAAACTAATCATCGTCCTCTTTCTTATATTCTACAGGTTGCAGTCCGAGCAACATTTTTGGGCTATGTGTTTGCTGTCGGTATTTTAATATTTTTTTGCTCATCAGCATCATGGCAGATGTTTGGCATATACATATCAGTACTAGCATTTTTTCATTATTCAGAATTTTTAGCCATTGCCTGGACCAATCCAGACACCGTATCTATCGAGTCTTTCATCTTGAATCACAGTCTAGCATATGGAATAGCAGCATGCTCAAGCTGGCTAGAATTTATCGTGGAAAGGTATTTTTTTCCTACAATAAAAGAGGCTTCCTCTATTTCTTACTTTGGCCTTGTATTGTGCCTTGGTGGTGAAGTCTTAAGAAAGATGGCAATCTTCACTGCGAAGCGAAACTTCAGTCATATTGTACAAAATAAAAAAGCAGAAAATCATGAATTAGTCACTCATGGAGTGTATGGATTCTGTCGACATCCCAGTTATGTGGGATGGTTTTACTGGTCTATTGGAACACAGGTAATTGTTTTTATATTAATGACATGTACTGTATCCACACATATTATGCTCTCTTACATTATAATTTTATGTTTATAGTTGATACTTCAAAACCCTTTCTGCTTTGTTGCCTATGCTATAACTTCATGGAGATTTTTCCACGAACGAGTTTTAATTGAAGAACTAACTCTACTGAACTTCTTTAGAGGACAGTATGTTGATTATCAGAAGAAAGTGGGTACAGGACTACCGTTTATCGTTGGATATAAAGTTGAATTGTAGCAGGAGACCATGGTTTAGTTTATAAAAATTACAAGTATTGTATTGTTATGAGCTTAATTGTAATAACACTACAAGTTCAGTATAATGATTTTAATTTTATATACATATATACTGTAACTCATCTCCTTACTATATAACTATTATTGTAAATACTATGGTACTTTCAAATGATTCTTGACTCGATGTATTGAAGTGTGAATGTAAATTATTACATTAGTGTTATCAGTTTTATAAATTAATCCGCATAATATTAAATATTCTAATTAGTTTGTAACCTTTCTAACCAAAACATAAAGAAATGTTGCAAAGTCTACAATTGTTAAACTTCACTCGATATACTATGAAGAATATTGCTACACGTTTTAATTTCGAAATAATCTAATGTATTGGATTCATACAAATGTAGCGCCAATATCAGTTAGCTAATCGTGAAGGGGTGGGGCTGGTACAGCGCTCATGACTCGTCCCAATGCGCATAGCGTCTGCTGGCTACAAATCGTGCAATTCTATCATGGTTGTTGACATCGAAGGTTATGTGTTAACAGTAATATTTGATTTTTCAAATTAAAAGTAAAATGGGTTTGCTCACAGATCCCAGAACTGGAAATGGAAAAATTATTAAATTTGTTCTTCAATGGGAAAAATGGCTATGTTTCTTCATGTACATTGGTGGTATAATATGGACTATGCTACTGGCACTACCTGTGTTCAATGACAGTAATTTCATATTTATTTACTTACACTTTTAATGAATGACTTTGATAGTTTCTTATTACATATAAATGATGCTCTGTTTAGGTACGTATTTTTCGGAAAATGCTTTATTGCCTGGATTAGTGATGAAGGAGTGTAGTTTGGAAGCAAGTGCTAAACAGTTTCATAATGAATTAATTGAAGAGATGAAACGATATCCTGATAAGATGCCATATCCTTGGCTGTTGGCTAAATTTAATCAACTATATTTGGATGTCTATATGCATAATTTCACGTTAAATTATCCATTTCGTGAACAGCAGGTATATAATTTAATGATTCTTGTATTCTTATTCAATGGTTATATTATAGAATCTATATATTAACTTTACCATTTATAGTTTACTGGACAGAATGTTTATGGTATTGTAAGAGCTCCTAGAGGTGCGAGTACAGAGGCAATTATTGTAAGTGTACCTTACAGACCTATTAGTAGTGTAAATCTGAATACAGCACCATCTATTGCTCTATTACTTGCATTTGCAAAGTGTTGCAGAAGTATGTATTTCAATAAAGTACAATTTCAATTGGTCTATATATATTCTAACATTGTTAATGGTTATAGAACAAAAATATTGGGCAAAGGACATCATATTCCTTGTGACAGAACATGAACAACTTGGTATGCAAGCTTGGTTGGAAGCATATCATGGTGTGACCAGCGGACAGGATGGTATATTAATGTCTGGAGATTTATCAGGAAGATCTGGTTCCATTCAGGCAGCCATCAATTTGGAATTGCATGGAATGAAAATCGCATCCGTTGACGTTAAGGTACAATATTATTTATCTAATTTCATTTTGGCACATTGTTTTATATTTTCTGGGTAGGTTGAAGGATTGAATGGACAATTGCCAAATTTGGATCTCGTTAATCTTGCCCAAGACATGATTACTAAGGAAGGAATTCGAAGAACTTTTCAACGTAGGCCAGATGTTAATGTGAAGAATAAAGTATCAAAATGGTGGTACCAGTTCAACACATTAATCTCCATGATCGTTACTCAAGCTACTGGTGTTCCCACAGGAAATCATGGATTGTTTCATAGGTAATAGAATATTTCACTTATCTTTGTTATTCTTCACATGTATAAATAATTGATAATACTTTCTTAATATTTATAAGGTTTGGTATCGAAGCTATTACATTAGAAGGCTTTGAAAGGTCAGGACGCGGACCCGAAGTTAGTTTCTATCAAGTTGGTCGTGTCGTGGAAAGCATAGTCCGTTCATTAAATAATTTATTAGAACGGTTTCATCAATCTTTTTTTTTCTATCTTTTACCATCTACCGACAGATACATTTCCATAGGTATGTAAAAAAGTATAACTTTTTGGAAGTAACTGATAAGTAAGACTGATTGTTTTATTTCAGGCTTATACATGCCACCATTAGTCCTAATAATAGGTGGTCTATTCATAAAAGCTTTTGCGTCATGGATTAGATTACAAGATACTGGCATAAAGGTCGAGGAAAATGAGAATCCTGATACAAAAATTAGTCAATTAAAGCAAAACAAAGTCGAAGAATTTGACATAGCAAGCATAGCTTCAGAAATATTATGGTCCCATATCATAGGTGTATCTATAATGTCATCACCTAAATTATTCACATCAATAGGATCACAATTATGGGATTTACCGACAGAGGACTCAATATATTATGGCTTTATAGTCACTACTGTTTTAACAATGTTTTGGCCATTCTACTTGAGAAGGTATTTTAAAGAAAATTGTATTATGTATTTTATATTTTCTTTAGCAATACTACTTGTCTATACACTAACAATACTAACAATACCAGTTGTCTTTCAGACCTAGAAAATCCGACAACGTTGCTCTTGTATGCGTTGTTGCATCAATAGAAGTAGCTACAACTTTATTATGTGTAGCGATGCACAATTTCTCGCTAGCATTGTTAACAGCCATAATCTACGTTCCTACAGCTCTAGCTATTTCACCGAAACGAGAAATTAATTCCAAGTAAAAATGCTTAATTGATACTGTGATAATTATTGTAATAAAATAATGTAATATTATGCTTATTGATATACTATTTTATATATATTCAGATTTCGAGGATTACTTCATGTCTTTTGGATACTGTTACATCCATTTGTGGTCGCCTCCATTCTCGTAATGGGATACACACGATTAAATTTTCCTGGAGAACCATTAATGTCTATACTAATTAAAGGAATACAAGCGACTAAACATGCATTTGTATTTAGTGTCATAGATTCTATGATTTATGGCAATTGGTTTTATAATGTGACTGTTGCTATTTTACTTCCCAATTGGATTCTATTCTGGAACGTCATTAATAGCAAAATTGCGTTCGATTCCTGACCAAATCCTTTAATAGATAATAAATAAATTAGATTAATCGGGTCAATAGCATCGATCTCTTAAGCCACGTATGTTACAATATAGAGTATTGTAGATAATACAAATATTGTTGCCATCAACCAGGTTTTGTATAATAAAGAATTGTGCATTTAATAGATTTTGAATGATGAGCCGCCTGATTAAGGCAGTATCCTGCTTTAAAAGGGTCCAAAAATCGAATTTTTTTTATTGCCTAAATCTATTCCTAATGTATCCAAGAATATGTATTCAAAGTTATAGAGGCTAATTCACAATATTTTCAAAGATACAGCACTAAACGCCATGGGGCATGGGCAGCTGGAGCGCGCGCTCTTTTACTTTAAAGCGCGTTTTCTCGAGTTTTCATTTTTACGCTTTTTCTAAACTGGCGGGCGTGATTGCAAGAAAACTAGACGACCAATCAAAACGAACCAACGCTTGTTAGCTTCAGTTTTGTATTCTCTTCTATTTGCACTAAAAAGATTCATGAAAAAAGTTCTAAACAACTTTTTTAGCAAGTTAAAATGATTTTTTTTCACAAAAAACATTTTTTTCAAACCTGAGAAAAATTTTAGATTTCACAATTTTTTGAGTTTTTCTTAGTTCATCTAGAAGAAAAATATATGGAAATATAAATTTTCTTTGGTTTTTTTGTTTCCAACGAAAATTGCGAGCTTCATCTTTCCCACCGATTGGAGACTGCAATTGCATGGGCATAAAAATCTGCTGTGTATTAATATTTTTCGCACAAAAAAATTTTTTTTTAATGTTCAAATATGCAATAAAATAATCTTCTAAGTTCGCTACACTTGCTTATTTTTTTCTATCCTAAAAGAGTTCCCGGAAAAACGCTTTTTTTAGGCCTTCTAAAGCAGGTACTGCCTTAATTGTATGTTATTATGAGAAAACACATCGTTCGAACAAATATTATACTCGCCATGTATTTCATTTAAGTAGAAATTGAATCGTAGAAATTTATATCGTAATAATTATGCAATGCATTGGCAAGGAAGAAATAAATATATCTTCTAAACAATTTTCAAGTTATTGTGGCAGCAGCATAAAAATAAACATTTATTATATTCAATTATCGAAAGTTAGCTCACGAATTGTTACTAGAAGTTATCATGGACTTTTCCAAAAATCTATTTTTGTTTATCCCAATGTATTCTTATAAACACTATCCCCTTTCAGACTATGTAGGGGGCCTTGAAAAAAATAGACCTCCATAATCCAGAGTTTATCATAATGATAACCTGGACATATTTAATGAAATACGATCACCATTTTCAGTTTACTTCTACGTCTTGTTTGACATGAGTCGTTAAGGGATACGTCACGGAAAGTAAGATCACGCTTCGGATTGATTATGTGAAAAATTTTGATAGCTTGTTCAATGATAAAATGTTTGAAGATAGCTAGTATCGTGCGTGCTTGCATTGTAGCTGTATCGTTTACTGCAAGAAGAAGCATGTAAGTCAGTGTTTCGTACGTAAGCGCCAAGTACTGAACAAGTGCTCTTAGTTGCTCTAGAAGATTCTACGATTATAATTTGCACTACTTTGTGAATCATCTAACCGAGATTAAGACACAGGACAAATTTCTCGTGCATTATTCACATTGAATATACGATTAATTTTATTAATGTCAATGTAAAGTAATTATTCAGAAACTGCCATACACTTATTGCATTTTAGAAAGGCATTGCAGCGTTAGTTCTGTGCTTCAGTGAAAGGTGTATTACTAGTTATATATCAGTCAATGTGCATCAGTAGCGCGAAATTTGCCGTCTGTACAATTTTAAGTGCTTTGCTTTACAATTCTGAATATTGTTAGAAAACAAAAATTCATGCAATATGATTTAACAACGTTGATTACGAAGGACAAAATACTTTTCTATGGCATACCTTGGTATTATCTGTGAGTGGAAAATTTTCCTTTACATAGATTCCAATTACGTAATTTCATAATAACTTGTTGCATTAATTCATATTAATACTTATGAAATCTTCTTGCAGAGTATGTGTTGAGCAACTTCGAATGAGTTTTTGTTGATTGTATCATAATTTCGTAATTCTGATGATAAATAAGGCTCGACAAATAAGGTTGATAACGTAATGTCTGTATTAACCGAATCATTCATATCTTTTGCAAAGTGTAGATTTCGAAAAGCAAAGAGAATTATCGCAGTAATCCTCCTACTTTATATACTAACCTTTCGAGCTTATATGACGACGTTCTGTGATTAAATTGTATAAATATCCATAATTTACATTTTATTAATCACTTTATGGATGCCTATAAAATATATTTTTAATCTAACATGTATACTTTCTAGGCTGTCAATGAGTAAAATTGGAAAATTCATAAAAAACAAGATTAATTTTATATGCAAATGGTCTAACACATTTTTATAAATTATTTTTATAAAACATTTCGAATGAATGTTGCACTTCTGGTGAATTGGTAACTTTTAAAACTATTAATGACCATATACTCGATATACTAATACGTATGGTGATATTAAAATTTCATACTCAGAGATTTAATTATACCTACGTGTTTTATAACTATCCTTGAGTATGAAAAGATCGTACTGCTGATGTGTAACTAAAACTTGATATTTATTGGAATGTATAATCCTAGTGTAATATGAGGCTGGAGGCTTATCCAGGCACTAAGACTTGAACGCAGAGCTTTGATTAGTGAAAAATTTGTTGGGGGGAGAAACTAAACATTTTCCACCAATCGAAGCACTGCGTTCGATCTTTGGCGCCTGTATAGAGATCTAGCTTACCAAAGCAACCGCTTAGACGGATAGTTTTGCAAACACAGAACCAATCCACAGGGGATTTAAAATTTTGTATTTATCCATACAGTTCAATAACACGACGGCTATCATTTTGAAGGAATTTAATAACAAAGAAAATTTGAAAAAACATGGAGGAATCTCAGGCGAACAGTACCATAAATGGGATTTACCAGAAAGAGTTATCCCACACCTTAATATTTTACGTAAATGGTAACGAGGTAAGAAATCATATTGACTTCTCACATACTTTATGCTTTGCGTTACTTTTGTAATTATGTATCTTATGTATACAGGTAATCGATGCTGATGTTAATCCCGAATGGACGTTGCTCTATTATCTTCGTAACAAACGTATCCTTTTTGTCGAATAAATAATAATATATATTTTTAATAAAACGTTATGACCTTAACAAATCACACAGTGTATTTATGTGGTACAAAACTTGGTTGTGCAGAAGGTGGATGCGGTGCGTGCACCGTTATGGTATCGAGATATGATCGTCAGGCAGAAAAAGTCATGTATCCTTTATATTGTCATGTTAATTATGGTCAAATGTGCTTTTTATTGATCGATGATAATATTTTGAAAATTATTTTTCTTATAATCGCAACATATAGTCATTTGGCTGTGAATGCATGCCTGACACCAGTATGCGCTATGCACGGCCTGGCTGTTACTACTGTAGAAGGTATTGGTAGCGTAAGAACAAAATTACATCCTGTTCAGGAGAGAATCGCAAAGGCGCATGGATCACAGTGCGGTTTTTGTACGCCTGGCATTGTCATGTCGATGTACGCGTTATTGAGATCAATCCCAAAGCCAACAATGGAGAACATAGAGATTGCTTTTCAAGGTAACCGGAAATCACAGGATGAATTTCAGTCGCAATTATTGTGATCCAATATATATTTTCTTTTTTTAGGAAATCTATGCAGATGCACTGGCTACAGACCCATTATCGAAGGCTTCAAGACGTTTACAGAAGAGTGGGAACAGTCGCAACTGCTTTCTCATGTAGCAAAGGGAACATCCTGTAACGAAGTTAAAACATGCGCGATGGGCGATGCTTGCTGTAAAAAAGCTTTCACCTCTGAACCCACAGAGGTTTTTAATTCTAAAGAATTTCGACCGTACGATTCTACTCAGGAACCTATATTTCCGCCGAAATTGAAGGTTGATCTTTTAACGGGAATAAATGCGGTTTAATAAATCGTACTGACATGACGGATGGTCAACGATATTTAATTTTCAGATTTCCTCTAAACTGGATGAACAGTGCTTGGTATTCAACGGGAAGAAAGTTACTTGGTACAGACCAGTTACCCTCAAGGAGTTGCTTGTTTTAAAGAAAAAGTACCACAGTGCTAAAATAATTGTTGGTAACACAGAAGTTGGTAAGCCTTTAGTTTGTCAATGCATTTTTATAATAGGAAATTACTATATTTTTGTCTTGAATGATTTTTTTTTATTACTCAGGAGTCGAGGTGAAGTTTAAGCACTTATTATATCCCGTTTTGATACAACCAACTCAAATAAAAGAAATGCGTGAGATATCAGTGACCCACGAAACAATAAGAATTGGTGCCAGTGTAACTTTGATGGAACTTGAGGAAGCTTTAAAACACCAGATCAAAGCGCAGCCTGGTAAGTATCTCTTTACGCAACAATATTATTAAAAACATCACATTGTCCTTAACCACATTGTTTGCAGAATACAAAACAAGAATCTTCACTCAAATAGTAAACATGTTGCATTGGTTTGCTGGAAAGCAAATACGAAATGTCGCGGTAAGTTCCCGCCGTCTTTATTGTCTTTGTAGTTCCTACAGTTATTTTTAATTATATTTTATACAAATAATTACATATGATACAGGCTGTCGGAGGCAACATAATGACCGGAAGTCCTATATCGGATTTAAATCCAATTTTCATGGCTGCAGGCATAAAATTGAATCTGTGCAGTCTCGACCGAGGACATAGGACAGTTCCAATGGACCACACATTTTTTGTGGGCTATAGACGTAACGTGGTTTTGCCTGATGAGATTTTAGTCTCCATTGAAATTCCTTATGGGATCGAGGGCCAATACTTTGTGGCATACAAGCAAGCTAAAAGACGTGACGATGATATTGCTATTGTTAATATGGCACTGAATGTGTTTTTCGAATTGGGAACAAATGAAATTCGAGATGCCTACATGGCATTCGGTGGTATGGCTCCTACGACTAAGCTGGCAAGAGATACTTGCAGCTATATGATCGGGAGGTGAGCTGAGAGGCGAGTGGATTTCGAGTTGCTTGAAACAAGTAGAGAAAACTATTTACATTGATAATTGCAGGAAATGGGATGAGAGTATGGTAGAATCTGTCTATGACTCGTTAATAAAAGAACTTCCGCTGTCTGGTGATGCTCCAGGTGGAATGGTTCAATATCGTCGATCACTGACTCTCAGGTAGGACAACATTAATAATAACAAAAAATTGATATTGTAAAAAAATATTTTACAAATCGTACCTATCGTTACTTTTTATTTTTTTAGTTTGTTCTTCAAAGGTTTCATACTCATTGCGCAAGAGCTAAGAAAAGTCTTGCCAGATATTCCTCCATTGCCCAAAGAATTGGAGAATGCTGGAGAGGGATTTCACTACAGAATTCCACACAGTTCACAGTATTATGAAGTGGTATGCTGTAGTTCAGAAATATTGTAAACACATTGTGTTACAAAAAATTATATTGCTTTCACATTATACTTATCTGACGCAGATTTGCAAGGATCAGCCTCCTACGGATTTAATAGGAAGGCCTATTGTACACGCAAGTGCCTTTAAACAAGCCACTGGAGAAGCTGTGTACTGTGATGACATGCCTCATATCACTGGTGAATTATATTTGGCTCTCGTCATTTCAACAAAAGCTCATGCTAAGATTATTAAAGTTGACGCAGCAGAAGCTCTTGCCATGGATGGTGTTGTAGCATTTTACAGCGCTGAAGACATTCCTGATGATAGAAGATGGATTGGTCCGATTTTCCACGACGAAGTGTTGTTCGTTTCAGAAAAGGTACCGCCATAATAAAGTTGATTTTAAAAATTACGAAGGTTATAGACGAAATATTACATTTAACCTCGAATTGTTCAGGTTACGAGCCAGGGACAAAGTATTGGAGCAATAGTAGCCATTGATCAAGCAACTGCGCAAGAAGCTGCAAGAAAAGTTCGGGTTGAATATGAAGAATTACAACCTATTATCGTTTCTATCGAAGTAAATTAAACATATATCTTCAGTGACTCTGTACAATTTTATTCGTTACTGAAAATAACTTTTTTTAGGACGCAATTAAGCATAACTCGTTCTTTCCGGGCTGCCCTAAGCGAATACAGAAAGGTGATGCCAAGAAGGCATTTAGTGAAGTTGATCATGTTTTGGAAGGTGAGGTACGAATGGGCGGACAAGAACATTTTTATTTAGAAACTCATGCAGCCATCGCTGTACCAAGGGAAGAAGATGAGTTGGAAGTATTTTCTTCGACTCAACATCCATCAGAGATTCAAAAATTAATTGCCTTTACTCTTGGCGTGCCAATTAATAGAATTAATACTCGCGTCAAACGTATGGGCGGTGGATTTGGCGGTAAGGAATCTCGAGGGATGTTGGTAGCATTACCCGTTGCTTTGGCGGCTTACAGGTATGAATTTATTGTTTATCATGCATTGCTAAAAGTGACTCGAATTGTTATAGCTCATTTTATTACCATAATATATAGGTTGCGAAAGCCAGTACGTTGTATGCTGGATAGGGATGAAGATATGTTGATTTCTGGCACAAGACATCCATTTTACTATAAGTACAAAGTAGGCTTTAACAATGATGGGTACATTAAGGTTGTTGAAGTTCACATTTATAATAACTGTGGATATTCAATGGATCTCTCAGGATCGGTGAGTTCAATAGAAATATATAATTGTGAAAAGTATTGTGAACATTTGTTCACATAAATGAAATTCGTTGAACACGCTACACAGGTATTAGAGAGGGCTATGTTTCATTTTGAAAACTCTTATAAAGTACCAGTGTCAAATGTTTTTGGATATTTATGCAAAACAAATCTACCATCAAATACTGCATTCCGAGGATTTGGTGGTCCGCAAGGAATGTTCATCGGAGAAAATATTATTAGACATGTAGCCCATTATCTTGGAATGGAAGTAGCTAAGGTACATTTTCGATATTAAATGGAAGTACGACAATATGTTCAGAAATTTTTTAAAACTAATCAATTGATTGTATAGGTATCTGAATTAAACTTATATAAAGAAGGAGATGTAACACACTACAATCAAATTCTTACACACTGTACATTGAATCGTTGTTGGAAAGAATGTCTCGCAATGGCCAACTATGAAGCCAGGATGGAAACTATTCGCGAGTACAATAGGTAGATCGATAATCTTTTGTAATATTGAAAGAATGTGTTAGCGTTGTGTTTCATTTTCAGAGAACACAGATATAGAAAAAGAGGCATGGCTGTTATCCCAACGAAATTTGGAATTGCGTTTACTGCAAAGTTTTTAAATCAAGCAGGTGCACTTGTTCATATATACACTGATGGTTCGGTTTTAATGTCTCATGGTGGTACAGAAATGGGACAAGGGTTACATACTAAAATGATTCAAGTATGGCTTATTTTACATTTTTTGTTATATCGTCTTTTTAATTCTTTATAATTATTATATTTATATTAGGTTGCGAGTAGGATTTTCAAAGTCAATCCAAGTAAAATTCATATTGCTGAAACAGCTACTGATAAGGTACCAAATACTTCAGCCACAGCTGCCAGCGCAGGTTCAGATCTGAATGGTATGGCTGTGATGGTACGTTATTAAAGTAACTGTCTTTATTTTAAGTTCTAATTATATGAAATGCTTATTTATTTCTATATTTCTAGAACGCATGTAATGAGATTATGAAGCGTTTGCAACCAATTATTAAAGAAGATCCTCATGGAACTTGGGAACAGTGGATACACAAAGCTTATTTTGAAAGGATCAGTCTCTCTGCAACAGGATTTTATAGTACTCCTGATATTGGCTATTCTTTTGAAACAAATTCAGGAGATCCGTTTAACTATTTTACATATGGAGTAGCATGCACTGAGGTTGAAATTGATTGTCTTACCGGAGACCACCAGGTATGACGTATGAAAAATGAAATATGAAGGAATATAAAACAAAATATCCTTATGCCCAGGTACTGAGAACAGATATTGTAATGGACTTAGGAGAAAGTCTTAACCCTGCCATTGACATTGGTCAAGTCGAGGGTGGATTCATTCAAGGATATGGTCTTTTTACACTGGAGGAATTGATATATTCACCTACTGGAACTTTGTACAGCAGAGGTCCTGGAGCTTACAAATTACCTGGATTTACAGATATCCCACAGGAATTTAACGTGTCCTTACTGAAGGGAGCTCCTAATCCTAGAGCAGTGTATTCCTCTAAGGTAATTCTGAAAATATTATCAGACTATATAGTTGATATAGAATTTACTCTCACTAGAATTTCATATTTTATAACAGTTTATATTTTCCGAAATGTAATTAATAATATTATATAACTTCATTAATTGATTTCAGGCTGTTGGAGAACCACCACTATTTCTAGCATCATCAGCTTTCTTTGCCATTAAAGAAGCAATTCAGGCAGCAAGAAAAGATATGAATGTTAATGATTACTTCAGATTAGATTCCCCAGCAACCGCTGCCCGAATTCGGATGGCATGCAGCGATCACATGGTGAAAAAGGTATGTGAAATATAGTAATAGTCAACATCATTGATTTTATAATTATTTGAAAACTAACAATATTATTTTTATAACAGCTTGGTAACTCTGATGGAAAATTACCTTGGAACATTCCTGCGTAATAAAACGACATTTCTGAGTTTACTTTTTCAAATGGAATGATCATACCAAGAATTATAGCATAAACGATTACTCAATAACTAACGGTATTTCAGAAATTATATTCTGAATATACCATTTGCTAATCATTTTGGTATCGTTATAATTATTTGTGCGAGCAATTACATTTATTGAGAAATGTCACAGTGTTATTAACCAAGACAATCGAGTGAGTGTCATTACATACTTCCTTATCAGTGTGTTTTATATTCATAAAAATTAAATATATAAGGAAAATTGAAACTTACGTGCTACAGTGGATTGCAATGAACAATAAACGATGAAAAAAGTATAATTAAATTTTCTGTCTCGTTAATTTATGTTACTAATATATTAGAAATATATAATGTTAGAAAATATTATACATAATCTTTACAATATCGTATTATAATTACCTTAGTCATTGAACTTACTACAAAAAAACTATTATTTAATTAATTTTAAACATTACTTATACCAGACTTTTCTATTGTCTCTAGCAACGTTTGTAAGTTCGTTTCAAACAATTCACAACGAATTGGCATTTCCAAGGAATAGAAAGGATTCTTCAAAGCGTAATCTGCATAAAGTTCATACACACGTTTTGTAAGAATATCCATTCCTGGTTGCACTGGATCTGCGACTATGATAAATTTAACACCAGTTAACGTTTGGTAACAATATAACCGAAATGTATCTGCTTCCAGCACTTCAATCCCTGAACATCTCGGTTCTGGACTAAGTTGACTTGCTATTGCAAAAAGTGGGTAGAACATAGAAGCCAGGAAAATTTTTTCATTAGTTGTCATTTTCGCTCGACTGAATTTTAATGTTATTGGGAAGTTTTCAGGCTGTTCTAACATCTCCAAAACGTCTCTACCATCCTCGAGCTCCCGTCCTGTGACAGGATTACCGTTTACTGCTGTCAAGGCATGACCCACTAGAATAACGTGTAAAAATCTCTGCTCCTCTTAAATGTTCTAAATAAGTCTCACGAAAATACAAATATATTGCTTACCATTTATTCCATCCCTTTGACCAAACGCTACCACCACCTTCTTATTTTCGTATGTCAGCTTGACATCTAATGGATAATTAAACGATTTCTCGGTTTCTACCCTCGGAATGTTGTGATCGTGGTTAAAAATCAAACCACCAGATTTTGAGACTATATACACACCGTATATGACCATTATTTTTCCCTATAAGAACGTCAAATTTTTGACGTTTATTGAACTAACTGCTACTTGGTTAAAACTTGACTAAAGATAAACATATTTCTATCCTTTATCAGAGTTGAGTAGGAAGATGCAAAACGCTACGGTTTTAGGCAAAGATGAATAGGGAGATGCACAACGCTACGATTTTCGGCGATACCAAAATCGTGGCGCTAAATCATAGCGGCGAGTCCGGAAGTAGGACATTGCGATCATCGCCTCCGTCGACAATAAGAATCCCGTCGTAGCCGAGCTAAACGGGAACACGGACGCGTAGCTTGGCGGGCAGAGGTTCTCCGCTACTCACCGCTGTTTCCCAAAGCAACCCTTAGAACGAGCCCGGGAACTATAGAACTTCTCAACAACTGTTGAAAAAGCCTATTGTTGAAATATTTTTACCAAATTTGAAAATTTCTAATACTAATGAAATGTCTCTTTGAGCAAAATTAAAGAATTAGACTATTTGTAAGTAGGTTGTAAATAGATGAGTATATGAATTAATTGAACTTTACTTATAGTGTTTAATTTTTTTAAGAGGTACTGCCATTCTAACGGCTCAAAAAAAAAATTGTGGTCAATTATTATTAAAAAATAGCATATGTAATATGAAGTCTATTTAGATG